ACCTCAAAAGCTGCTCAAGATGTTGGGGTATCCAAAGCAGCTGCTGCATCTTCAGCATTAACTACGCTGCCTACAAAAAATCAGGACACTAAGAAACACGAACAAAGTGACCAAAATAAAATGGACAATAATACATCTACTACCCAATCTAACATCCCTGTTCAAGTAACCACAGAACAAAGCCACACCAATACAGAAAGTGTCTGTGATGTAAACAGTGGGACAGTTACACAGAAGGGAGCAGATTTATCTCCGCCACAGGTGTTGGACATTCAGTCCGATCATGCAAAAGAGCAAAATGCAGACGTAGAGCAGGTCTCACTGGAGGCCCACATCCATGCTGCACCTGCAAACACCACAGCAGTTACACCACCTGGGACTGTGCAGGAAGGGACCACAGACACAGCATCTGTAGGAACTGTTCCAGAAGTCACCTCATCAAACCTGATCTGCCCTGTTTCCAAGCCTGAAATAAAGCCTGTGTCAACAAAGCCTGTGTCACCTGAAGTCTCTGAGACCAAAGATGGAGACCAGGTTAACGATGAGAAACCGCAGAAAGACATTCCTCAAAAACCAAAGAAAAAGTTACCAGATCCTACAGAGATTCAAACATCTACTGAGAAGAATTACCCTGTAGAAAACGGCTTAGGTACACCCAAGGCTGTCATGACTGTGACCCAGGAGACGAGAAGCTCTGATGTCAGTTTGAAGCCTGGGTCTCAAGATGGAGAACAAGGAAAGCAAAAGGAGGCTTCTGATGGAAAGGCCGTAAAGCCTCTCAAAGATAGAACTTCAGAACCCAATGCTGTTATAGTACAAGCAGACAAAGAAAAGGGACAGAAGACAGAGGTGCAAGTTGAGAAGACAATGGATGCTGTCACCACAGAAAAACTAATTAAAAATGGTGATGTCCACCCTTCACCCAGTCAGGAGAATATGTTTGAGAAGATGGAGAGTAAAGGTGGAGTGACGGGTGAGGAAGGTCAAGTCACAGGTTCGAGTCTTCAACCTGGGAAAGCTTCTGAGAAGAACACTGAGACCTGCTGGACTTTATCAATTGAACCGGTGAAGTTGGCACAGGAAACTCTGAGAGTGGTGGAAAGTGAGGACGTATCAAAGAAAGAACCAGGTTCCCTCAACCAGATGGACAAACTCTGTCAAGGATCCCTGCCAAGGTTACAGGAGTCCACCCAGGCAAGCACTCAGCTGGGGAGTACCTCCTCAGTCTCTGAAGCACTTAAAAGTTCAAAGTTATCGTCTCTGCCACAGGTTATGAAACAAACTTCAGGCACTTCCCAGTTGGGCCCTACAAACAAATCATTCACTTCACGCAGCTTGAAAAAAGACAGCCCTTCCAGCTGGTTAGATGTAGACCAGAGCTCTGTGAAGAAGCAGAAGAAACCTGAGAGGAATTTGGATGCTTCTGTCAGTGAGGATGACACCTTGGATACCTCTGATGAGTTTGAGGAGTTCATACATAACATCAAGAAACTGGGTGCACCCTTCTCCATTCCCCTGAAGAAGCATGTCCACACCAAGTCCCCATCACCCCCATTTGCCATGCCGGCCATCAGAGAAGACCGTTTTGAGAAGACATTCGATCCTGAGGAGTTTCAGTTTGGCCTGAGGAAGAAAAAGGCCTTGAAGGACCCATCACCTGGGATGATGGTGAAGTTGCAGAGTGCAGAAGCGAGGAGCAAGCTCCAACCCAAGCGATCCAGCACCGAGGACAGCCTGCTCTTCAAGCAGATCCAGCCTCCATCCTCTGGCCCGCAAGAGAAAGGGGAGGCAGGGACAGAGACCACTGAGGATTCAGGGACAGTTAGTTCTCGCTTGGGAAAGAGCTCCATCCTTTCCAGTCTCATGACCAATTCCAGGGTCTCCAAGAAGCCTGGCAATGAGCCTGATTCCGCAACAGGCAGCAAAGCCTTACCGCTGCAGCTGGGGGCAGCCGCTGGTTTGACCGACTCGCACGTGTCCCCTGCCACCGGCCACCAGTCAGTGCTGAGCCTCTCCTCACCTCCTCCCCCTCCTTCCTTTGCCGAAGTTAAGCTTCCAGATTATTTGGGGAAGCTGCTCTCTCAGGACAAAACAGAGGCAGGAAGCTCTGAAGGTGGCCCCCGGCACACAGATGCCAAGGCTCCTCTGTCTGGAATTGACCTGGGTAATGGTAAGGGCTATGTCCCTACGGACAGCATTCCACCCGCTGCTCTGGAACCGTTAGCTCCTACTAGCCTGATCCAGATTCAGCAGGCATCCGGATCCAGCTTCCATGCTGGACATGCTGAGGTGAGTGAGTGAGTCATTAAGCTGCCATGAAATGTCGCCATTTTTAAGGAACGGCGGGTGCGACTGGCTTAGTCACGGCTCTGTGGGCGAGTGTTTTTCTGGACGTTTCCGGATGAATCACATCTTCCTTCTTCATAATTGATTATGGAAGGGACAGAGCAGAACTTGTGTGTTTTACTTATTATATAGTTTTGGATTAAACCCAGCAAACTCTCAGCATTCAAAACTGAAAGAATTTGCCGGAAATGAAGTGTGTGGCCTGTCTGATACTGTTTGCCTGTAAGAACAGACCGTCGCATCCTCATTATCATGTCAGATTTTACTGCTGTTCATTTTACAGGAAGAGGAATTTGTAGCTGCAGGGTGTTCTGTGTACCCAGTTGTAACAAAAAGAGACATTAGACTATATTTTCCTTCAGTAGCTCCCTGCCATTTTGTTTCCCGCTAAAAACTGGGGCAGGGTAAATTCAGTAAAAATTTAGCAAATTTCTTGGTTTTATAACAAAAATCATTATTTCATTTGTTTACAAAAATATATCACATTTTTAGTGTTTAAAATTTTTAAAGTAAAACTTTCATTTCAAGTTCTAATAAGTTGAAATCCTAATTATAGTTCTAAATGAGCTGTTCTGAGTTGAAAAGTTCTTTGACAAGCATAATTTGCTGCTTTGTAGTTAGTTACACCTTTGCAATAACATAAAACACCAAGCATTTGTGTTTGGTTTCCTTTTGGGAGTCAGTGACTACAATTTCAATTAACAGCAAAATGGCAAGAACTGATCTGAATGAGTCAGTCAAATAATTATGACTTAAAAAGAAAATGTCCTTGTGCAGATACATTAAGCATTCCTTGTCAATGGACTTTTGTTATGAAACCAGTAAATTTGCAATATTATTGCAGAATCAAGTGCCCCAAGGATTTCTGTTGGCAATTACAGGAAAGAAGTATGTTTGCCTTTCCGTGCAATTTATCTAGATTGCCATACATTTGCATACCTTCAGTTTGTATGCGGGCTAAGTCTGTATATCATGAAGGCTTGGCTCACATGTGCTGGGCCCAGGCAAACGGCACGCGATCCAAACTCTAAAGCCTGCACATCCGTTCAGCCTCACTCCTGGAGGTCTTTGCTGGCCTGCTCGAGAAGGAAGGACAAGCTAACGCGCTTCCCTTTGCGTTGCAGGTGCCGCGTGAGAAGGGCTTCCACAAGCGCCCGGGAAAGGTGACCTGCTCTGCGTCATCACTAGAGCGTCCTAGCATGACTCTGCATATGTCAATTTCAGACAGCATCTGCACAGCAGCCAAGGCTACAAATTCACCCCCCCCCCCCCCGTGTCTCTCACGGTAGATGGTCCTTTACGAGCGGGCTCCGTCGGAGGGAAGTGCCTACGAGGTCCACGGAGATGTGGATGACGCCACTTCCATGAAACTGTCCCCAGTGATCTCGGTCCGCGTCGTCAGAGGGTGGTACGTGTGACACAGAGTGGCTGTAACCTGTATCGAAGCTCTCTGTGGACACCTGAGGCAATTTCTGGAGAAGTTCTTCTCCAGTTGCAGTGCAGCAGGTTCTGCATCAGCTTCCCCATGCCCTTTACACCCAGATCACCTGTCCTGACACACTGGAATTTGTTCTTCCAGCTGGCTCCTGTATGAGAAGCCGGGATTCAAAGGAAACTCGATCGCTCTGGAGGAGGGCTCCATAGATCTGGCGAATGCCTGGGCCCAGGAGCCGAATCCCGGACAGGACACACCCACATCCCCCATGGTCATCGGCTCTATCCGGCTAGCCGTCCAGGTGAGAAGCTCTTTGTCTTGCCTGCTTTCCCCAAAGCTGTTGTACTTTCTGTTCTGTTTCTAATTCCATGGAAGGCATATGTTTGTTTTAAGTTTCATGTTTCATTGTCACGTGTGTTCAAAGGAAATTCTTATGCCGCAGTTTCATGGAAGGGGACAGGTGCATTATGGGATATGCCACACAGCAGTGCAATACAAGAGAGGTGCAACATGAGAATGAGGAAACAATAAATAAGTAATGAAATATGTGCAGACGGAATATGGATGGAAATAGATCACGGTGCATTGAAACAGCACAAATGATGTGAAGTCACAATGAGTTTAACCAATTCCAGTTTTGGTGGGATGGTAGTTCGTGGTTGTATAAATCGGCATGTTTTTAGACAAAACAGAAGCAGGTTCTTACATGTTACCAACCACAATTGCCTGCTATTCGCAAATAAGGCTGCTGTCTCTACTGGTACTTTCCCTGCACATGCATGTACTGCCACGTACATATGAACTTCAGAAATGTTTGAACAACAAAATTAGGGTTTAAGGTGGACAGGAGTGACAGCCTGGTGTGATCCGTGCCCAGTCAGAGCCTGGTGTGTGATCCTTGGCTCTGTTTTGGCTCCAGGACTACAGCGTTCCCCGGATCGACCTGTTCACGGAACCAAATGGACTTGGGAGGATGATGACTTTCTGTGACGAGGTGGTCGACACAGGCTCCTTCGGGATCCCGCAGTGCACTGCGTCCATCAAGGTCCACAGCGGGGTGTAAGTGCTGACATTACCCTGAAACAAATCCTAACAAATGAAGGGCAGGTGAGGGAAGGGCAGGTGAGATGCTAGCGGTGACCACTGACACACCATGATACTACACACTAGCCTTGACATGTTGAGGGACAGGAAGCAGGTTCAACAAGGCATTCTGGGATGCCTGCGGTACACGGGTTCAGCA